CGATTTTAATTCAACTATAATATATATATATATATATTATAGTGAAATTAAAATCACAGGTTAACGTGCATCCATGCAATAATGAAAGTGAGCTGATGTCTAATTAAAGTGACACTAGCTGCCTCTCATTGGTCTTAATGGTGAGTTAGCTAACTGTGCTAATTAACTAGCTAGCCATTAGCTAGCCAGCTAACGTCCGGGTTAGCTTTAAATTAGCTTTAAACTCACCTCTCCTCTCTCTGACCAGAACGGGTCGTACGTGATGTTTCCCTTCGGTGAGTTCTTTAAAGCCTGTAAAGTTTCCCATCTTAGATTTGTAGCGGGCATCACGCCAGAAGGATAAACAACAACTACGGATATCGTCGGTCTTAGTTTTGAATCGCCGCCGGATATGGTCACATAAATTACAATCCGACGAGAAACAGCCCGCCATGATGTTTCCGGCTGGGCAAAAATATATATATATATGTTTTTAATCGATAGCATTTCATGGCGATACAACCTAAATGATGTAACTACTGTAATAGTGCAATATGTATTTTAATGAGAATTTATGACCCAGTGGCTCAACCGGGGAAACCATAGTATTACAGTCCCGCATTTTTTAAATAAATATTTGTTTGCTGTACTTACACAAATACTCATTTGTCACACTAAAACTTCAGATATGATTACAATACGACACGTGGCCAAATTCTGCGTAAAAATATCCTAATAGTTTTACATATAGTTTCTACCTGCTCCATGGTGCAGTGTTACATATATACATATATATATATATATATATATATATATATATAGTTTAATCTGTGATCCGTCTTCACTGTTTACATGTTGAACAAAATCTCATCTGATGAACAATGAGGGGGCGTGTCGGCCGTTAAAACACTTCCTGGAAGTCTGTTCTCGTGGGTCCTCGCTCATTTTCCTCGTTTTGTCTGAACTACAATTATACATTTGTCAAAAGGTGAAATCGTTTTTAATTGACATGAAAGATGGAAGATTTGAAATAAGAAATCATCAGAATCAAGTTATGCAGGACATTATTTCTACAAGAGCATATAAATACATTCAGGCAACTATAATGTGAGCACTTCATTTTAAAACGTTTTTTATTCATTTCAGATAGAGTATAAAACTCATTTAGGTCTGCTGCAATGCTTTAAGGAAGGAAGAATGCTCGTCAGCTCGCAAGCAAAGAGTCACCGAACACGTTTCCATATGAGGTTTTGAGAAAGTGAACGTAGTTCTGCAGACTGCGGTTTGTGGAGTCCGACTGCTCCAGTCTGTCCTTCATGTTCTGCAGCTGAGTCTGGAAACGACGCTCCAACTGAAGGGAAACGCACAGAAACAACAGATGAGAACCAACTGTTTGTATGTCCAACGTAAATAGAAGCAGACATCGTGCCGTACCTCCTCCTTGCTTTGCTGAAGGTGACTCTGCTCTGTTTTCGCTCGGCTCAGCTGGCTCTGCAGGTCCAAGGCTTTAGACTGAGACGCTCTCTCTTTGGTCAGAACCCTCTGCATGCTATCGTCCACCTGCAGGAGGGAACACTGGTTGAGTTTAGGTTTTCCTCTACGTATAAAGTATCAAAACACTCAGAACAGATCATGTTAGCAGCATTTCCTGATATCCTTAGTAGAACATCAAAGAGTAAGCTCATTAAATATTATATTTAAGTTTATAGAGATGTATAGATTATAAATAAAATCATTTTTAATTATTCTACTTTTAGATCGTAGATGTGTTTTATGGATTCTTATGGTTTGCACTTTGATCTGCAATTCTTGTATGAAAGTTGCAAAAAAATGTTATTTGAAGAATAAAAGAGAACTAAAAATCCTGACTGTTATTCCCGTGTGTTTGTGTCGAGCTCTTGTGAACTTGAGGAATTCCTCTCGGCTGTGACGCTCTCTGTCGTTACTCTTTATATTAACCGCTTCATCCAACACGAGCTCAGACAGTCGGCCCCAAATTGCCTTCAGTATCTCAATTTTTACTTCCACAAAACTCTCCCTAAATAGTCAGTAAAGCGTAATTTCAGGCTTTAACTGCACCGAAAAAATAGAAGCAGCACGGAGGTGAATGAGCAGAAGGTCGGGACTATAACGGCTGACGAGAGTCAAACATTGAAGTTGTGATGTGACGTTTTGTTCCGAGGACGCTGGAGGAAATGGTGAAAGAAGTGAGTGTACAGGAAGTCCAGACCCGTCTGTGTGCGTCGTCCAGAGTCTGTTGCAGCTGTCTGGACAGGACGCTGCACTCGCGCGTCTTCTCCTCCAGCTGCTGCTGAACGCTGCGGATAGTCGCCTCCTGAGACGGGAGAGCCTGAGACATCTCTTTGTTTTCCACCTTCATCTCCTCCAGCCTCCTGCGACAGACAACACAGACATCAGTTAGAGAAAATCAGTTTCTATAATGTATAGAGTTTTCATTTTTCTGCATTCATTGTACCCTCAACATGTATGTATTATTCTTCAAAGACAGTTCTGTAAGCATGGATGGATCACTGAACCCAAAGTGTCACTCAAAGAGACACGAATCAACCGGGAAGAGACTCAAAATAACCACAAAAAGACGACAGAGAAAAACTACGAGGTTACAAAGAGACTAAAAATGATCTCAAAGAGACACAAAACAACTACAAACGATGTAGTCTGTGAGTCTTGCTCCTGTGTAGGAGAGATGTTCTGTGCTCATTGTCTCATAAGTTGCCCGTTGTGTCTGAGTGTCTGTACCTCTCTAAGTTGTGTATTTTCTCCTTGAGAACGTTGTTCTCCTCCTGCAGCAGCAGGTTCCTCTGCTGGAACGTCTCCAGCTGAGTGCCTTGCTGTTCCACCTGTGAAGGAACACATGATGGAAATCCTCCTTCTGTCACTGCTGTCACCATTAATCACTTATACACAAAAAAGAGAGAAATATATAGAAGTTTCCCTTGAAGAAGCTCTATAACGTCATCTCTCCAGATCCTGTGACTTTAGTTTAAAAACCTTTGACTTCAACAAACTAACGGCTGAAATACAACAACGTAAACCTTCTCTTCAACTCTCAAAGCGATACCAAACCTCCGAGGTTCTTTCAGTACCTTGTGTCTGACCTCAGCGAGGGCCGAGTTGTGCTCCGCATTCCTCCTCTCGTGGGCGTCGGCCTCCTGCCGGGCGCCCCGGAGCTGCAGCTCCGCCCTCCTCAGGCAGTCGGGCAGCGCCTCCAGCTCCCCGAGCCGGCCCAGCAGCTCCCTCCTCACCTGCTCCGTCTCCCTCTCCAGGCTCACCGTCGCCTCCCGCGCCTCCTCCTGTGTCGCCTCCAGCTTCAGGCGGTGCTCCTCCGACTCCAGACGCACCTGCTGCACCTGTGCAGAGAAGAGTGATATCACTACTGACACAGCAAACAGCCTCTGGTGATTTATTTGCAAAAAGAAAAGGGCATGTTTGCAGAAACCGGTTTGTCTTTTCAGAACTATGTCACAGTAAAACTTCAGTAAAAGTACAAATACCACACTGTGAAGCTACTCTGTTACTCTTTCAGTAAAAACATCCTGGATTCAAAACCTTACTTAAGTAAAAGTATATTTGTAATATCACACAATGTACTTTAAGGATGTCAAGTAAAATGATTGATGGTGCAGTAAAATGTTCCCGACAGTGTTTGATTATCATCCATCTCTCTAAAAAGAACAAACAGCCTGTTTTCAGCTTTGTGACGATGCATTTTCCAGCTGATCCAAGATCATTTTATTCAGAGAAGAAGTATTTAAGGAAACACTTCATCCAGTTTATCACAAACATTCATCTCTGAGAGTGACTTTACCTTCTTCTTGTGTTTCTCCACCAGGTTTTCGTGCTTTTTGATCGTTGACTTCAGCCGACGAGCTTCAGACTGCAGATCGAGGAGCTTCTCCTCGGAGGACGTCAGCTGACCCTAAATATGATGTGTGAACCACATTTCATTTAGTCATCAAATAGGATAAAACATTAGAAGAAGAATCTGTTAAAACAGAACATTTAACTAAATTTTCTGTCAAACTTTTGTTGAAAAAATTTACTTTTAGGAGCTGCAAAATAAATCCAATAAACCAAAATAATATAAATAAACACTCAGCGATCATAATGTAGAGAACACTGCATTTTGATTTAATACATGAACTACTGACAGGGTTCAAACACATTTTTACCAATTAATTAATAAGACTTTGAGGCACATTTTCATGACCTACATTCTCTGAAACGTTAAAAAATAAAAGTCTGACGTTAGTCCAGTCAGAGAACAATGATGTAACTGATCCTCCTGAACATTAAAGAAATGTTTAAACAATATAGATCTAATATAGACAATATAGATAAAACTCTCTAGGTATTTCTATTTTCAAAAACGTCTCCGCCACCTAAAACTGCTATTTTCAAATTCAATGACTTCTCCAGGTTTTCCATGACGGTCTGAACGCTGCACTGTTGAACACGTATTCCTGGAACATATCTGACTTAGCGTTATAGATATTATATTTAAAGGTACCCTGAGTCTCTGGCTGTCCAGCTTCGTGGAGGCGTTTTCAGCGCTGAGGTGATGGAGGTGATCCCTGAGCTCCTCCCTCTCCGCCCGACTCCTCTCCTCCGCTGAACGAAGCTGAGAGTTCAGCTCGCTCGCCTGACTGTGAAGGAAGCAGCTGAAGCTCCAGTTATACTGTCGTCACAGTTTATTACACGTCTTCCAAATTCATAAAGATATTATCTTCATGTCGCTTCTCTAGACTCTTATACCGCAAACCTTTCAAATAGGATGACATCGAAAATGACACTCACAGCACATTTCACTCTTTAAACATTTTATTCTTATATGACTTACTAATTCATAGAGTTTAACAACTGATTTGAATAAACCAGTTTTTTTAATTAAAAACTTTAAAAGTAATAATTGTATGTAAATGTGTTTTCTCTTAACTAGATGATAAACTGCTGCAGAGGGAACATTATATGTGACTATTCTTACTTCATTATTTTGCATTATAAAAATCTAAATTCTATCATGAAATGCCTCCATAAATAAGTAAAATGTGTGAATGTATTTTTGGGCCTTACACATCATGATGTTGTGTCACACATACTCACAGTCTGAGAGCAGAAAATTCTTCTTCCAGACGTCCTTTAGCCGCTGACTCTTTAGAGTGGCGGAGGCACCAGTCGCTTGACGTGGACAGAGCCTGAGCCAACTGGGACTCCTCAAATAAAGTACACAAGATGTCTAATTAATATTTACACGGTCAAGTTACTTCACATCTGGATCGTTTAGAAAAGGTTGTTGAGTCTTCTGAACAAATGAGGAAAGAGCTACAAGACAAGATTCACAGTAAAATCAAACTCAACAAGTGGGAAACTGTTAATTCCCTCCAACATGTATGTACTGTATCCTAAAGTATCCTACTGTATGTACTGTACTACATCCTCCACATATGATGTAGTTTTCTTGTGTTTTTCTTATGTCCCTATGACACAATGCATTACCTTGTAACCTGTATGTTTCTCTAGAATACTGCTGCTGAACCAAGAGGCTGGCTGAACTTCCTCTCCACTTGATTTGCATAAAAGCTCATTTACATGCAGGATAAACCACGAAGAGGTCTGTGGATCATCCCGAGGAACCAGGACTCTGTGTCCAAGGCCCATCTCTGCCCATCACACGTGTCTCAGACATCGTGGTGTGGACCCTGAGATACTTCTGAATACTGACCTTCTCCTGCAGTTTTGCAGCGAGCTGCCTGGTGGACTCTTGGGCTCTCTCGGTCTGCTGGGTCAGCAGAGCCAGCACCTCCTGGTCCTGACGCCCCTCCTCATCCTGCTCTTCCTCTCTCCGCTGCCTCAGAGTCTGCAGCTCCTCCTGCTGCTGCTCGTGGCTCTGCTGCATCCTCTGCTCCACACAGAGAAGGACACAGACATTCACACCTTTCAATGGTGAAATCTAACTAAGTACATTTACTGAAGTAGAGTATTCTTAGAGTGTGGTAAAGCTTTTAAAGATAGTAAAAGTCCCTTCAAAGCTGCTTTAACAGTCTGAAAGTGACGAAAAGCTTGTTTCAGATGGGCCACATTGTGAAAGACCAGGTAACACGATATAAAACTAAACATAGCAAGAACATGTAGAACTATATCAGCTCCTTTATTACTCAGTCGTGCTACAGAGAGGATTAAAAGAATAATGTATCTTATAAGGTAAACAATCGTCTGTAGGGTTTAAATTTGCTCATAACCATCACTTCAGCCATACATATCTTAATGTGCTACTTCCAGGATTAGCTATGAAGAACTGATGGAAGTGGTTTATTCCTCTTATGTGTAGTAAGTTTAAGTTTTAACCTACTCGGCAAAAGAAAAACCTGCTTCTAAAATCCTCGTCCTATACGACATCATTACAGTACCACCATGCTGGATGCTGATCTAGAACCACTGACTGATCAAAGAACAGATCTGAATGTTCAGGTGTGCGTTTCATCACATTTGTACGATCACAGACCTGAATCTGAGTGGCCAGGTGGACTTTCTCTGCTTCTGTTCTGTTCAGCTCAGATTCCAGATGATGGCGGGTCGACTGCAGGATTCTTGAAAGCTCCTCCGTCGTCTTCACGTTGTCCTGCCAAGAAAGAAGAGAAGCAGACGGTGAGGGGGAGTTTATGTATTTGTGAACACCTGAAGCTTAAAAGGGGATAAATGTGATGTTTAGAGGAGGATATACTGTCTTAGTCAATGGAGTCTTGTGTCTTTGAAGAGAGATTATAGATAACGGCTTCATAAAGGTCTGTGTGACAGCGTTCACTTCGGCTGATATTGATGCTTTTAGGAGTCTAACATACGGCCACACTCCATCCACTGTAGTGAAACACTGAGGATGGAGAAGAACCTCATACAACCACACTTCTAAACATCTGAACTATTCCTAATTAAAAGGTGTGTGAGAGATATCCCCCCGTTTCCCACCGAGCTATGACAGAATACAACCGTGTGTAAATGTTTTTCGTGAACCAGATCTGATGGTAAAGCTTCAAACCTTTTCAAAGTCCAAATGCACGGCAAGCTTAGAGGCCTCCTTCTCCTTGTTGGTGAGTTTAGCCAAGAGTCTCTGGAAGAGAAGAAGAAACACAAGAAGCAGCTCGTCAGATGTCTGGAGGCTGATGATTACGTCTCACCTCACATGACCAGGTGATAGTTACTCACAATGTTCTCTGCTTCGCTGTCAGTCAATCTCTTCTTTAAGGCGTCTCTCTGTTCCGACCACACCGACAATTCTCTCTGTGGATGCAAATACCAGTGAGAAGAGACTTATTGACATTTGGTTCTCCTTGATTGGCTTCTTCTCCTCCTTCCTGTACCTCGTATTCACTCCGGTCTCTGAGGAGCTCTCGCAGGCTGTGGTTCGTGTTGTCAAACATCTCGATCTTCTCCAGCAGCAACCCCTGCTGCCGTCCCAGTGACGCTGCGTGCAACTTTGACAGCCGCTTGACCTTAAGAAAAATAAAAAATATAAATAAAAACATGATCATGTACTGCAAAACGATGCCCTCCTCCATTCATCCATCCTGCTTCTGTCCTTCCAGACTTACCTTAGAGAGGCTGTCGATGGTTTCCTTCAGCGCTGTCAGCTGATTAGCGACCGCTACGCCGTCGATTTCTGCTTCGACGAGCGTCCTCAGGAGCACGTCGGTCTCTCTGTGTTGACCCCGAGAATCTGACCTGTCAGCAGATAAGATATGATACGATAAGATAAGATACGATAAAATAAACGGTACGTTAAGATAACTTGAGCTAAGCTAAATACAAAGTACATCACTTTAATTTGTTTTCAACTCTATTAAATGTGTGTGTTTTATTTTGAGACTCTTACTTCTTTAAATGACGGATGCTCTCTTGCTCTCTGAGGAGGACGCTGAGGTTTTTAGATACTGCATCGAGCTCTTCTTCCTCCTCATCATCATCATCACATCGATGTCCGACTCTACTTTCTGATCGATGCTCTGCTCTGCTTCTCTGATCACAAGACACAAACAAACAGGTTACACGTACAATAACATATAAAATACATCTATCTTCGTATCTGCAATCAAACCAGGGGCTGAAAATATTCTTAGGATATTCAAGCTCTGAAGTATTTAAAGTACTTTTAAAGTGTAACAGCAACCTACAATACTACCTAGTATACCTTTAAATTCAGTTTTCTTTTCGAGCAAATTCCTGCTAGAATATCCCTTACTCTCTCCAAATCGTGTTCATCTTCCATGATATATATATATATATTTTTTTTTTTTAAATTTATTTAGCTCTAGTTGAAAGCCTTGCAGTGAGACATAAACACTGTGAAGAGACCTGACACTGGTAGGAGCCCACGTCTCTTCTGCAGGACAGTCTTCCTGGAGGAATCCACGGCGTCCGCACCTTCGGCCTCCCTCCATCTCCCCTCACCGGGGACTCTTTTATCCGATTCTGCATTTAAAAAGGAGGAATTCCACAGGTAAAAAAACACATAAAACTGTATAATGGAGTGATGATTTAGTCTATTTCATTGTTAACTCTTTAAGAAAGTAGGTTAAAGGGGGACAAATTACAACTTACTGCAAAGAAACTAACAAATGCAATTTTTGAGTAACTAGTACTTTATATATAGTATTTCCATTTTCTGCCACTCTATACTTCTACTCCACTACATCTCACAGGGAAATATTATAACTTTGGCAACTTTACAGATTCCTAATAATAATAATAATAAAAGAATAATAAACAAATGAATGTAATCATATATTAAGATAAAACTGTATTGATCTCTTGATCTACCCAGCAGTATATAAAGTAATAAAATTAGCTTAATGTCTACCGGCTGCAACATTAAACACACTTTTTCATCAATAATAAAACATGTAAAACACTGTGATTTGCTGTAAAATACAAAATAGAGTAACTTTACTCTGCGTTATTTGGGATGTATTTTAAAGTGTATCCTCATTCATATATCGTCAAAACAATAGTTCCAGTAAAATAAACAGGTAAAAGAATAACCTTTGGACTCCTCCTCATGTGCACGTGTACAGGTGTCGTCTCCAGTACGTGCACGTGAACCGGTGGTGGTGATTCCCGGGTTTTCATTATTTTCGAGACGTTACAACAACATTCAGAATCAACTAAGACCCAGTGTTTCCATGATAAATCTTGGCGTTTTGTCTGTGGAACGGACGGTTGTTTGAATCGACAACAACGACACCTCTGATTGGCTCATTTGCAGTATCCCGTTCTGTGATTGGCGGAGGCGAGTTTACGATACGCGTTGCCCGTGGTGACCACTGAAAGTAACGGATGCTGTTTAAATCAACCGTTAAAACGCCCATATTATTACATCTCCTTACAAATAACCTATATAATATATAATTAAACTGTTAATTTGTGTTTTACTCTACCTCTTTCTTACTCTAAAATCAGAGGGAGCACTACGAAACTCAAAATGGAGGACACCGCGGTTACCACATAAAAACGTCTTTGAACAGTATAAATGCAGCTAAAGTACATTTAAACGGATTTTCTAGTAGAGTAAATATCAATTTGACTGTTTTGTGACTGTAAAATTAAATGTGCGCAGTTTAGTTTTTGCTAGAAGAGAAAACTGCATTTCCGGTTGCTGAGTCTGGCGCGTATTTCCGGTCTGGCGTTTACTTCCGGCCGTTAGTTAGCAGCAAGCTAACGCAATTTATTTTTAAGCTAGACACTTCTTACGTCCACTAATCACCATACAATATAAAGATGGTCACTGCGCTTTAGTGCTTCTTGACCTGTTAATTGATGGCTCTGGTGTACTTTCGATTGGTACCGAAACGACACCCATCGATGCTAGCTCACCTCAGCTAAAAACAGCTAGCTAGGAGTTTAAGCTAAGCTAGTTTGTGATTCCATGTGCGCGAGAGGCAACAATGATGCACAAGCGGAGCCTGCGGCTGCTGGTAAAGCAGCTGGAGAGGTTAATAATGCAATATATTTCGTTCGCACTGCTGTTTCATCCCACAGCATACCAGCCCGGTGAGGCATGTGCAGCCGTGGCGGAGGTGGGCACCAGCAGCGCCGCTACCCTGCTACTGTGCAGGGCGTGCGGCCACGAGCTGGCGGTCGGGACGGATATCCACTTCGTGCCGAGCCGATTGGCGCTCTCCAGCCGCAACGACACGTCGATCGGGGGCCGAAGGATTAACGTCCAGCTTTTCGAGAACCCCCACGGACACCAGTTTGAAGTGATAACGTTCAGAAAGGCGAACGTTACTCAGCACTGGCCTGCAAATAAACACTTCTCCTGGTTCCCGGGGTTCTCGTGGACGGCGGCCACCTGTCCACGGTGTAAAACTCATTTAGGTGCGTAGGAACCCACGATGGTGCCACAACACATTTTCTGTTAATGGGAGAAGTTTGTTTCCATACTGAGAGATGAGAAACTTCACTTAAACCACCAAGAAATAACAAAAAAAATTGTATGCCCATTTTGTTCACTTCTTACAAAGCATATGGTAATTAATGGTAATGAGCCAATAGTTCTTGTGAAATACTTTAATTCAGTAGGGTAAGTTTTTTTTTAAGTAAAATAATTGAACGTACCTGGCAACTATATTTGCAATATTTAAATAAAGTTTATCTCAAATAAAAAAAATTTAAAAAAAGTATGCAGACTAAAAGCTCTCAAACACTTTGCTTGATTCCCACCACTGAATTTATAGAATATGGTGCCTACAAACGCAAGTCACCTTTGTGTTTCTACCTCTAACATCCAGGTTGGGCCTTCCAACCGACTGACTGGCCGGACACGATCACAGAGAACAGATTTGAGGAGTCGGAGCACACCTTCCTGGCTTTAATCACCCAGCGTCTACTAAGAGAAGACTTTGCTTCCAGCCTGCTTGTGACTCCAAAATCCTTCAAGAGCTGATGGGACTTGTGATTGTACGATTAACCCAGGTGCCTTCGCTGCTACCTAGATCTAAAATTTTGTAAATAAATTTTCTATGCACCCACTCTGGAGACTCCCACACGTGTAAACACAGTAAGTTTTATTATTGTAACAAAGCAAGTTTTACACCTCAAAGTTAAAACAGTTTCTTTCCCACCCACCCAAATGAAAGGTGATTTAATGCAACTTCTATGAGACGACAGGTCTTATTTTATTTTACCCATGAAGCAGTTAGGGGGCCAAAATTTACAAGCTTGTTTTTTTTTTTTTCCATTTTGTTCTTTATTAAAAATGTCATTTCAAATCTCATGGATATCTGTAAAACAATACAATGAAAAAAAAAAAAAAGTCCCATAGAAATGGTGTCAAAATAACCACTCTCCCCAAATAACCAACATACTCCTGCCCCTCCCCCCTCCCCCGAAACATTACAAGTCAAAAGGAATGAGCTGGTACTCGTTAACCACATAGGGGGTGAAAAAAACAAGTTTCTTTCAAGGGATCAACATCCCAACTGAAAAAAATTAAGGAAATTAAACGGGGGATAAAGAAATTGAGGTTAACTAGCGCTGGGTCACTACACCATGGCTTTAAGTCATCTTACCACAACCTTTAACTGGAGGAATTCTGTGTGAATCGTCTTCAAACTCTACTCAGGATGCCGTGCTGCTTCTATTTTTATTTTATTTAATAATAATTATTATTATTATTGAGATGACTTTGGGGATGGTACTCACAATTCATTGGCCTTAGACGAGTCTAAAGAAGAACATAACATGGCACCAGCGAGGTGAAGAGGCTCCAGAATGGAAAATGAAGCACACGCAGATTTATATATAAAAAAGTAAAAAAAAAAAAATTTAAAACCTTTGCTCCCGATCATGAGTGGAAAAACAAAAAACGGGGAATAGAAGGTTTAGGGTCTGAGTAGATGATATTATTTCTTAGTCGTCTTCTCCTTCGTCATCCTGAAACAAGACATCAGAAAGTCAGTGACCGCTTGAAGACAAGCTACTCTTAAAGAGACATCCGTATAAGACCACCATCACTTTACCTCTCCATCTTCTCCATCGTCCTCTTCATCCTCCTCTCCATCTTCATCTCCCTCCTCATCTATGTCCTCCAGACCCTCCTCATCCTCGTCATCGTCCTCACCTTCACCCTCTTCGTCATCCATATCAGGGACCTGGAGATAAAAGAGTCGCCTTTTAGCACTTTTATTTCAGACGTAACAAAGTCCCAAACACATTTTATCGGAAGATGAAACCGCTTAAACAGATGTTTGCTTATTGATACGTCCAACTTTAAACATACCAGGTAGTACTGCAGGGGGTTTGGCCAGATGTCGTCCTTGATGACCTCTCCGAGCTCGTCAGCGCCGGCGTCAGCGTGATCAGTGAACCAAGTGAAGAAGCTCTCTGGCTCTTCATGTTGCCTCTTCCTTCCTGCTTTGTTCTGTGTCTGGCTGGAGCGCTTAGTCAGGTCCTACAAACAGAGAAACATAAGATGTCTGAACTGTACAACACTTAATTATGCAAGATGATCATAAGAATGCCATTTAACTGGTTACAGGTAAGAAGAGAAGCTTCTAGTTTAACTACACCTACCTTTCCTGATTTCCATTTGATTTCTGTCGACTTTGAAGACGGGTCTCCGCTCTCGTTCAAATGGAACTCTTTGGAAAGTAGTTTGTTTTCAAAGTACGGATTTTCATCGAAATACTTGAAGACATAAAAAAACAAAAGAGTAAGAACACAAAGAAACACTTTGCACCTCCATGTTGTGTGTGTGTATCTTCACTTACAAAATCTATTCTGTAGCCTGACTTGATGTCTTCAAACTCGGTCACCTCCACTCGGCTCAGGTAATGAAGTGCTTCTTCATCTTCCTCTCCCAGTAGAGCAGATACTGTGAGGGGAAATAATATACAGACCACACTTCAACTTTAGTCACTGTCCAAATTACTCAAACTTTTGTCAGTGTAGATAACAAAAAGAGATCATGGCGATAAAAAGCTTGTGTTGAGTTGCTCACCTTGTGGATGGTTGACAAACGTGGTGACCCAGAAGTTGGGGATTTTGGCGATCAGTTCTGACCTCTTCTGAAAGAATGGCTGACGGAGTTTGTTGTATTTCTGTTCTACTTTGAGGATCTCCTCACTGGCTTGCTCATTCAACCTAAAAAGGGGAAAAAATATCAAACCAAATTAAAAAAAAAAAAAACAAACTAAAAAAAAACAAACTACAATTTCAAGTATATTTAATCAGGCACCGGGGAATTTAACAGTACACTACGAGGGCACAGATTTTCATGGCAAACCCAGATTTAAGCATCTGAATTCACTAGTTAGTTACGCTTCATTTTAAATGTGTAGTAACATTAATTTTGAGTTTTGTGGACAGAAAATCAGCATTACAGCCACAAATTATAATAATTTGACTTTTTTACCTGTCGATTTCATTTTGAACTTCATCGATGTGTTCAATAGCTTCTTGCTGCTCTTTCTCTGTGGGGAGGAAAAAAGACAGATGCGTTACAAAATATGCAAAACATAACAGTCAGGACTTTTAGTAAAAAGAAAATAAATGGATGTTATCAATAAACTCGTGCATGCATGCAAAACAATGTGTTTTTAAAATCAAGTTAATTTACCATCATTGTGAGTTGCTTTTTGATCCGGAATTAAGCTGAATGCACATCATGCACTTTTGGGTGTTTACATATTGTTCAGTTAATTTAATATTGTATTTCATTGTAAATATTGTGCATTTTTAACGGGAATTTTTATTGTATATATTATGCATTTTTATACTTTACGTGCATCAATAAATGACTGCTGTAGCGAACACATTTCCCCTTGCGGGGTTAATAAAGTATCCATCTATCTTTCTAAATTAATCCTGCGTTCGTTTGCGGTATAATACGGCACACGTGCCAGGTATACAGGGCTTAATACGAGCGGCCAATGGCTGCAGCTCTCGCGGCTCAAGACTTCTCCGTTTCCTGCCGGCTGCTACCGACGAGGCCGCGTGGTTCAAATGTGGGACACAGAGAGAGACACTGAGCTACAGGACAGTCTAATACCCCCATTAACGGTCAAACTGTTGCTCGTATGGTGTAGTCCTGCTACCATTTGTGTAAATATAACAATGGCCTAGCTTTTCTGATTGAAGGGCCAGTTGATTTAAATGCATTTTGACCACCAGTAACAAAACATAAACGTCTTCAAGCTAGCGTTAGGTAACACTACAACAACAACATTAGCTAGCTGGCTAACTGCTAATGCCCGCATGAAATGGCCAAAATTGCCAGGTTATTAAACACCATAATATATATGCTTAACATATAGGTCAATTAAATGTACTTTTACAACGATACGCAGAACAATGACCCTCCAGCATTGCACACGGCCACCAAGTCAGTAGCCAACGACACAACTGAGCCACGCTTGATAATGCTAAGCTAACATGGCCTCTCAGCACCGGTCTGAACTGAAACAACAGCAGGCATGCTAATAAATGAGTTAGCTTGGTGAGCTAACTAGCTAGCTGTTATCAGAAATGTGAACACGCGCGCGACCACCGTTGCAACCAACGGTCGACCACAAAAGAAGGTCCCGGAGGCAAAAAAATATAAGGAATAACATACAACGCAAATTAAATGTTAGAAGAAGAAAGTAAAGAAAATGGCGGTTGAATAGAGGAGGCCGCCATTCTTACCGGAGGTTTCGTCCGCTCCGTCATGGTTCGAGTTCAGCTCCTTTTTACTCACTTTTGCCGCCGAGGCCGACATGTTTTTCGTAACTTACAAGACGCCTGAGAAAGAAAATAGCTCGTAGCTTTTTAAATCTGGTTTCTCCCTGAAAACCAAGGAGAAATTTTCGGGCGCAAAGTTCACAAGCGCGTACAGAAAAAGCCCAACAACGTGCTTGCTTTCCAACACAATGTAGCGTGTGCGTGATGAGCGAGGAAGTCACACCAACCGCCGCTCACGCGCTCCTTTTCATTATGAACGCGCCTCGCCGAACGGAGGGAAGCGCGAGCTCCGCCTCTCAAAATAGGTCTCACTACTCAGCCCCAATTTTACCGATTTACTCCTCATTCTCCTCTTTAAAAATTACACCACAGATAAACTAACCTCGAATTAACCACGCATATTTTATCTAATAGTTTTTAATTAATTGCCGCACAAAAAATTACGTTTATTCAAGACGTCGTCAGTTGGACCGACTCGCACTTGCGCAGTTAAAAAAAAAAAGAACCGCTGAATGTCAGACAGGAGGAACCTCATTCTGGTGGGCAGTGCTCATGAGTCCGCCGGGTTTAACTGTTTATTTTAGTGAAAGATTAAACGCAAAAAAGCACATTTATTTTATATAAGTCCAGTAGTTTGCATATTAATACACTGTGCAATACTAAAATGATTCTGTCTGTATATATAATATTTTAGTTATTGTGGATTTTTTACTTAATATTCTTTATTGTTTTATTATTATTATTACTGTTTTATTATTATTACTGATTTATAATACTTGTTTTGATCTTGTTTTTTACTGTCTCTTGTTTGCACTATCCATTATATATATATATATATATATATATATATATATATATATATATATATATATATACATATATATATATATATACTGTATATACTCCACTATGCTGCTGTAATCCTGTAAATGTCCCCACTGCGGGACTAATAAAGGATTATTTTATTTTATCTTATCTTATGTGTAAATTATAGCCAGGAGGTACAATTTTGAGGTAGTTGTACTTCACTTTATTTCCATTTTAAGCCACTTCATACTTCATACTCCACTACATGCCAGAGATAATAATTGTACTTATATTCCACTCTATTATCTGAAAGCTTCACTTTGGAGATTTAGATTATGATTAAAACAAAATATTAACCGACTACTGCAGGCAGTTTGATTCGTCAGTTAAATGTGAAAAATGTTAAAAACAAATGTAACAAAAATATAACTTTAGAGAGAAGATCAAACTGGTGTGCAGCATTACAGTACAATAAAGTGCAAATAAACAAAATACACATAATAAAGATGATCAAAAACGTGCGAAAAACAAATGAACACAATGCAAAAGAAATATAAATCGACTAAATTATAATGTGTTATTAAAGATTAAGCTAAGGAAATTCTTGTGCCAGAGTTTCATCAAATATTACACTAGAAGAATAGCACAAAAAAACAATAGAATACATATAATACAAAGAATACAAATATAAACATATATCAACAATAGAATAACAATTATTAAGTGTGAAATAAATAATATTGACACCGGTGCAAAATGGAACACAATGGAACAGTAAGGTATAAATAAATAAAGTAAAAAATTATCAACTACAATAAAAACAAGTACAATACAACAACAAATTAGACAAGTTGCATAATGAGTACTTTTGTATATTTTGATGCTAATATTTCTACTTTTGCTTAAGTAAGATTTTGAATGCAGAACTTTTACTGGAGTATTTTTAGAGTATGGTATAGAATACAAGATATGAGTACTTCTTCCACTTCCACTGGTGTCCTTTCATGTCTACATGGTAACTTTCCTTTTAAATCAATCAATCAATCAATCAATCAATCAATCAGTCAATTTGATCCCGAATAATCTCCATCATCATTTGTAACGGCAACACAGCTGAGAAGACAACATGCAACCAACAGACAGTATAGTGCACATGCAGGGCTTGTAAACATCCACGATGGTGGTCTAAATATCCAGGATCATGTGATTATTAATGTCTCTCACACCCCCCTTCTTAGACACAGCAGGTTTAAACAAATCTCCCCCTAAACACTGCATGCAGGCTGCTTTCTTCCTCGTCCCGAAGAGAGCAGCAGCAGCTCTGTGTTTCTCTTTTTTGGTCGGCGACGGCTCAGGAAACATGTGGTCATGCAGCGGCCAATGCAGAGCCCAGAGCAGGCAGACCAGCACTGTCAGAGAGAAGGAACTCCCCCTCTCCTGCAGAAAGAAACCCCCTCTAAAAGAGACAGAGAGAGGACGAGAGAGAGAGAGAGAGAGAGAGAGAGAGAGAGAGAGAGAGAGAGAGGGAGGGAGGGGGGGATTTGGTTACAGAGGAAGACGAGGATGCAGTGGGATGGGGATGCTGCAGAGGAGGCTGCACGGAGGCATAAAAACAAACAGGAGGACAGCCTGTGTGGTCCAGGTCTCAAGATGTAGGAGCTGCATCATCAGAGAAAGAGAGAGAGAGACAATCAGAGTGTGTGTGTGAACACACCATAACATCTCTTGTGTTTCAAGGATATAGTGAAGGTGGAGAGGTGCAACCCAGAGAAGTCCTCCCTCCTCCTCCACCTCCAGGGAGGATGAGAAAGTAGTCCTCTATTCAGCAAAGGAGCGAGAGCGTCACCCCGAGGTTAGTAAAGTGCAAAGTCATCCCAATTCGATGCATCTCTCCTTTGCTCACTTGTTTTTTCTCTGTACGGTATGGGAATGACTCCCTTCATGTTGTTCCACTTGTTATGATAAATTATCTCCCCCCCCCTCTTCCTGTCCCGGCTGACTTGTCAAAGTGTGGTGATGAAGTGGAGGTTTGTTGTCTCTCTCTCTTGATGTGATGTCGTTATCCAGGATCAGATGTTGTCCACAGCTCAGCAGATGCTGCAGGATAGCCGCTCCAAGATCGAGCTGATCCGACTGCAGATTATCAAAGTCACCCAGGCTGGCAGCAGCAGCAGCAGCAGCGGTGTTGGTGGAAGCTTTGGCGAGGATGGAGACGAAAACCCTGACAGGTCCCCTCATGGAGGTCAGAGTTCACGAGACATGACCCCCTTTACAGGGTCACACAATGATGCACTGGATATTTTAATCACACATCTTGTTCTAGAGTCTTTATGTAAAATTAGGGATATTTCCTCCAACTTCTTGGATGTAAATTAGCTCTTCAGTGGCATTCAATCATCTATTGATCGATCTATGCATCTATCGGCTGTCTGTCAGCAGTAGTGACACGATCAACACGACTGTGACACAATTCATTGCTTTTTGTTTACAGTCGGACTTTCTAAATGTAGAGGAGGAAACCAGAGATTAAGAAATAATAAGAAAAAACTAAATGGACAACAAAGTATTGTGATGATACAACTGTAATGCAATTGTATGGCTGAAAACCAGATATTTTAACCTCCAAAGCTCAAATCTATCATTGAACTAAATATGATCAGGGTTCAGATTGGAAATTGAAGTATTGACAACCAATTCTATCATTCCCTGCAGTTAATAGATGTTGTACTATTTTATTTCTTTTCAAAAATTATAAATTAGTGTCAAAAATGAATGTCTTCCTTCGGTTTCAAGGGGTTAAAAACTAACAAAGACTTTTGTTTTTGGTGGTCAGAAGGTGAAAAGAGGTGAGGAGTGCTTGGTAGAGTTAAAAGAGGTTATTGGTGTGAATACTTTGTGAAATTGTAGCTGCAACACTGCAACATCGATAATCTTCATCTTACTTTTCCTGCTGATTTAATCCACGTATGTTGTTAGCTTTCTTTTCTTCGACGATGCTTTCGGTTGTGATGTTGCAACAAGCTGCAAAACATTTATTATTTTAGTTTCAGTTGTGTTTTTTGTGTCCCGCAAAAAAACAGTCTCGTTTTAGAAGAATTTCCACTGAAACAAAGGTCGAGTTCAGAGACGCTGAGCAGAATGTTCTGGTATCAAAGACCCACACCGGTTGTTTCGTGCTTCCTGCCAACTGCCATCTCTGTGGGTGTTGTTTGTATAATCCGGAAAGTGAAACCACTCTGGCAGCATCAATGAGAGTAAACGTGACATGTAATTCTGAACTAACACTGGAAAAGTAAAAGAGGACATGAAATAGGTGACGAGTAAAGTCTGTACTTTGTTTCCTCGGCTCACGTTTCCTGACCCCTGACCTCTGACCTCGTTCCCTCTCATTGATTCTTTATGATGTTGTGATCTGCGGGGGAATTGAAGTCTACTACAGCAGGCGGTTTGATTCACAGAGTCAGTTAAATGTGAAAAATGTTAAAGCAAATGTAACAAAAATATAAATTTAGAGATGAGATCAAACTGTATTCATCCCCAGGGGAAGTTGTGCAGCATTTGCAGCACAGAAGAGTGCAAATTAACAAAATACACATAATAAATATGATGCAAAAGAAATGTAAACAATTAATGGTGAAGATCCACAATTCTCATCTTCTTTATGGAGGATAAGCGACACATTTCTAATTAAAATAGACATTAAATTACTGCTGTTTTTAGCAGCACTAGTAAAATGTTTCACGCCATATAAGCATAAGCAGGAATTAATTAAAAAATGTTGAGAAATTAGGTACAGAATTCATTCTTAATTGATTCATTTGAATATAAAGAAACCAGGTCAGTTCAGAAAAGGATAATTGTTGCAGATTTCTACCATTTAAAAGTAAAAGTAATGATGAAAATTGATAAAATGTTTAAAACTAGACATTCAGAAGTCGATATCACCAAAGCAGCAAGAGAAATATACTTTATTTTATCCTTATATTAACTTAGCAACAGGTGAAGGGATTTCCTCCCCAGTCATCATTTATCCTTTATGCCTTTTAGAGCTTCCATACATTTCAGATAAGTGGCTAAATGCCAGAAACATAAAACACAGTCACGTGAAGACCTTTGCCTGCAGCACAGTGACATTTTAGAGGAAAAGAGAGGGCTCACTTCAGCGTTATAAATATTGAATGCAGGAATGAAAAGAGGACGCATCGCTCGTCCCTTCACACTAAAAATACTCTCCTCTTCCTCTCAGCGATCTCTCCGGTCGCCGTCAGTGCTGTGGATGTTCGTCTGGCAGAGCTGCAGCGCTACATGCAGAGGGAGTCGGATGTGTTGTCGCTGGCCAAAGATGTGGTGAAGCAGCTGCAGGGAATCTCATCGCTGGACCAGAAGGCACTGGCTGAGGTCTGAGGCTCAATCTGTCTTATCTTATAGCTCGAGTCCAGGGACAGATACAGGCTGGTGTGCAAAATATATGCTAAGTAGTGTTATTTTGTAAGACTTTCTATACTCACAACCTTTAGCTACAGAGAAAGATGTCGACTGAGAAGATTATGGTTCCTCTGATAATCAGTTTTGGAGGTCAGAATCAGTATTTTAAACCTTGTTCATGTTCCTGTAAAAGGTTTTCCTCATAACTTGCTCATTGTCATGATGGAGAAGCATCTGAAACAGCCTTTAGATCATTAAAACATGACATGATAATACATTAAGAACCTCTGAGGACCACACTGGTGTCTTTCACAAGTTCTTTCCTCTTACAAAGCGTGTACGTACAACGGCTGACCTTTTTCCAGAGCATCCTGTCCTGGCGAGTCTTCTATTGGTTTCCATTCATAAGAATCAGTTTGCAGAACTTTAAATCAACTTATTTGGGTTGTGTAATCAAGTCTGCGTCATGTTTTAATCATCTGATTTAATTTAGACTGATTTCAATTATTATTAACAGACGTTCACTGTTTTATAGATCAGACAATGTAAGCAGGGTTTCAAGAGTTTATTTGATTTGTAATCAGTAATATAGATAATTGAAAACGTAAAATATGCAAAGAAAATAAAGAGTTCAGAGTTTTGGTTTGTTTTCAGTTTCCAGTCACAAGGACACTGATTAGCTAAAATGTTATGTTTAATAAAAGCACATTAAAAAAGCCAAAATCAATCAGAGTTAAAGTCTTAAGTCTGGAAAACATGTTTACGTTGGAAGTGGAGCATCGGTTCCTGTATCCTAACATACCAATCAGCACTATGTTCACAACAACGCAGTGTTTTATCTTCCCTTCAGGCTCAGGCCCGGGTGCAGGAGTCCTCCCAGAAGCTGGATCTTCTGCGGCTGTCTCTGGAGAAATGCACGAAGGAAAAGAACCAGGAGCCAGAAGAGGAGGTGGACCCCTCAGAGGGACCCCCGTCTCCACGAGACTCCGGACCTGGATGTCCCCTGTCCACCTCGCCGTCCATCTTCTCTATCCGACCCGCCTCCTTGACGGGTACGTTGCAAATTATGCTGTTTACTGACCAAAAATGATCAAATTCAAAATGTTTTCATGCGTGTATATAGATGATTAATCATCAGGCATTTTAAAAGTTTGCATGAGTAAGAGGGTCACATAAAACTACCACTTTACTTTGAATAAAGTCATGCATTTTGTCTTTGTACGTTATGGATCCTGCAGAGCACCACTTTCGGAGGTATTTTCTCATTCAAATCCGCAGCCGTTCTCTGTAGATTCATGGTTTACCAGACGCTGACCTCTGGTTGAGTGTAATCAGATGTAATCTGCTGGTTGTGGGCCGGTTCAGTTGTAAGCCAGTTTCGCCTTTGATGATGTAACAAGGAGACAAATCCATGGAGTTGCTCATGTTGGCAGCAAATAATGAGAACGAGTCTCAGAACACTCGCCTCCACAGCGGTTAGAGCTGCAGTGAGAAGGAGAAAATTAGGATGAGAGAGCTCCAGACAGAACTGATTAGAGGCTTTGGGTCGAGAGATTTATCCATGGCTGACAAATGAAGGGTCTTATTTTGAAAACCGCTGCGTTCCCTTTGGTCAACTGCCTTAACTGAGATTCATTACGAGCTTGGGTGGATTATGAGACAGTGGTCCTCTGGGCCCAGACATGCAAAGGGCCCCACCACCTCTCTTATATAGGAGAAAGACTCACAGACTTCATACAGTTCAGCCTGTTTGTGTTGTAAGTAACGCATCATTGTGTCTCTTTGTAGTTGCTTTGTGATCTTTTCATATCTCTTTATAGCCATTTAGTTTCTCTTTGTAGACATTTTGTGTCTCTTTGCGGTTGTTTTGTGTCACTTTGTAGCTGTTTTGTGACTCTGAAGTCATTCTGAGTCTCCTTGGAGTTTATTTGTGTTTCTTTGTTGTCCTTTCCTGTCTCTTTGTAGCCATTTTGTGGTTGTTGTTGGTGTCTGTTTGTAGTTGTTTTATGTTTGTGGTCATTTTGAGTTACAGGTTGGTATGATTGTTTTGGAGGACAAGGCCTGGGGGGCCTCAGAGTTTGGGCCCCTGGGCCTGTGTCCTGTAGTCCCGTTCAGTAATGATTACCAGTAGAGCAGCACGAGAAACATGCATGGATGGTTATTATTTAGTAAGATCAGAGCTAAAAATCACATAAAACTTGTGTGTACTTACTTTTACACTTGATAGCAACACATTCTTATTTTTACATTTAGACTTTCAGAAAATATAAAAGATACATAACTGTATTAATATAGAAACACACACAAGACAAACACAATTTTAGTATTTAGTAGTAAATTCAAGACCTTTGTTGTCTCCTAATAGAAGAGGTATTACAGTTTGACCTTTAACACATTTAATTTAGCAGATGCTCTCGTTGTAAACTGAGAATCAAATATTCTGTTTTTTAAAGTCAACATTTTCTTTATTATTGTTTCAGGCAAACTTGAAGTCCGACTTCTTGGATGTGAAGATTTACTGAAACCTCGGACAAACCCGGAGCAGGAAAACCACCCGAGTCCCACTGAGGACAGTTCAGGAGCTCACAGGACGGACGGACTCTCTGGTAAGTGGACAAGTTGTATTTTAGTTCAGTTTCTCAGCTGTGTTTCCTACTGAAGGATGAAATGTTACTGATCAATAGAATTCTTGCAGTTATGAAAACTAACAATAATAATACAGTAAAGAGTAAGAATAAGGTAGTGCTTTAACTTCAGGGCTGTCTGAGTCATTTTGGATGAATTATAGATAAAATAGAAAAGTTGTTTCAACATGCGAAAATGTGAATTTATTTTCTAATGATAAATTAAGAATTATTCACTTAATTGTTTTCTTTTAGTTAGTGATATATTATATTGTATTTTTTAGAACAAAAATGGATCAACAGGATACACATTTATATGTGATTATGAGTTACTTAAAAGCATGTTCAGGTGAGAGTGAATGTTTTTGACCTTGTGAACAGAAGTTATGTTAACTCAAAGTCATTAAATACCAGCTGCTTCCAGAGCTTTCAATCCTTTCTTATGGTCTTCATCTATGGATGGACCTTGCTCAGTTGTATGACGTTGTTTTGCTCACTAAAAGCTTTTTTTTCTTATACTGAAACATGCGTGTTAAGTATGAAATCCTCGTATAAATGTTAATCTAATATCAGCATTTTATTACATTATAACTTCTGCCAATGACATTGGAAGTCATCTCAAAAATCCCTTTTTCTGAATGGCATGACATTTACTTTCTCATGTCAAAGTCTCACAGAAAAGACAAATGATAAACATTTATAACTTAGTTTAAGTGAGCAGCTTTAGAAGTAGGAGCCTTTATTCATACTGACGAATGAAAGGTTTTATTTTGAAACGCTACGTTCACGTTGGTCACCTGCCTTTAGCAGCTGAAGAGTTGGTGGAGACCAAACCAGATCTAAAAGTAACGTGAATATTTGACTTACATTCATCAGGTGGATCGATGGGATGATAATGTTGCCCCGTGTCTGCTGGATGTGGAAGTTGTGTTGGTGGGACTTACAATGACTATGAAAAGGAGAAAAGCAGACACAAAAAGACTCAAAATGACTACAAAGAGACTAGAAATCACAACAAAGCAACTACAAAGAGACTCATGTCTTCAAAGACACACAAAACAATTGCACAGGTTACCTTGTTGGATGATTACGTGTCAGACTCCTGAGTCCGTCCGCTTGTTGTGAAGTTTTTCTGCTCCAAAGTGGCCAAAAAACAACAATGAATGCATCTTTAAGTTAATTCAAATGAACTGTCCACATTGTCACATCACTTTGCTTCTTTGAACACACACATATTTTATTGCACTCATATTATTTTCTAGTCCAGAAAAGATAATTAGTTTTATATCTTTATATTTCAGTTGAAATTAACTTCCTGAGTGTAACTGTGACGTGTGCAAAAACCAAAACTAAAGGTGCACATATTACAGTAACGTAACAAGTGTATTATACATTTTAACTTGTTTAGTTGATAGTTATAATCAGACTTTTAACTAGAAACACTTTCTGTAAACAGAGCAGAGAGGTCGAAAGGGCCGGATCGAGCTTGTTGTGATTTTTTGGTTATTTCTTTCTGTGCATCAGCGGAGGTCAGCGCGGTGCTTCGGCTCGACAGCAGAGCGGTCGGCCGGACGCGCTGGTCCGCCGTCAGCAGGCTGACCTGGGATCAGACGTTCTGCATCCAGCTGGAGCGCGTGAGTCCAGTCACTGACATGCAGTCAGAAAAAAATAAAAAATAAACTCAACTCAAAATGGTTTAAAATAGATTTAGATTATTAAATGAAAAAAAACAGCAAATCATCACATTTCTGTAATTGTTGCACAGAAAACTCATTTTTGTTAATTAAAATAATTAATTAATCGACGAATCATTTCAAGTGCTGTATAAACTGTGTGGTGATTTAAATTATAACAGAACATTACATTTTAAAAGCTTTTTGTTTTGTGTGCAAAAATCTTAGTTAAAAAAAACTAAAGCTGTCAAATAATTGTACAATATCCCCCCCCCCCCGAGATGTAAATGGAGTAAAAAAGTACAAAAGTAGAAAAGTAAAGTACAACTACCTTAGAGTAGGATACTTTAGTTAATGCACTTAGTTACATTCGATGAGGACATTAATTAAACCCCGAAAAACGTGACATGAAAACATTTATGGGATAAAAAAAACACCTATTTTTAATCATGACCAGTTTGAAAGTGTCGGAGAAACTCAAATGATCGCACCACCAGATTTCCCATCATGTAAACCTCCTTTACCGTCGACCAGCTTCAGTATCATTCTTCATGTTAATTCTGATCCACACCACCAACGCCCGATCAGTCGTCCTTCTGCATGAACTTCCCTCCAGACCGTCCTGTTTCAACCTGAAGTAGAGTTACAGACACCAGAGGGTCACTGGGACACAGATGTTCTCCTTGTATGATGAATGCACCGTCTACTTTGTGACATTGGTGCAGAAATAAAACAACATCGGCAGCTTGCAGGCTGCAGAACAACGCTGCATGTGCTGACACACATACTGTATATATATATATATATATATACACATTTATATATATAAAACCAGCAGCCACAGGACTTTATACAGAGGACACCATGCAGGACAGAGAACACACTGACACGCCACAAGAGTTACATTTAGAGGGTAGTTCAGTACCTCTGCATAGTATCACGGATCAGAGTCATGGATCGACACCGGTCCATCACACCACTAAATAAATTAAATAAATAGTTATATGACCATAAATACAAAAAGCAAAAGAAAACTGGAAATTGAATCTTCTTACAGATATTTATTCAAATCAGACGTACACACTTTGTGATCGGAGTTTTTAAAAAGTAAAAAAATAGTATTGTATTTACATGTCTTTAACGTCCCTAGTCTTGTTTGTTGTTGTGTTCATGGTCAGCTGTGCCACTCCTTGAAGCAGTTCCTGTCTGCTATGACACACAGAGCCACATCACACTCCATGCACTTCCAGGGCGTCGACAGCCTCACTTGCCTGGTCTGCCTGCAGTGCAGACACGTCCTGCGTCCGTACGACGCCCTCTTGCTCGCGTCGGGTTGATCGGATATCGGCACGGGCAGGTGTCCGCTGTGCGCCTGCGCCGGAGGCACCGCCACGGTGACGCCGCACAGCTGGGCCGTCAGCTCCTGCAGGAAGGCCCGGTGGGTCATCGGCTGCTCCTGCTTCTCCCGGCACAGCTCCTTGTGGAGGAGGAAGCTGTTGGTGGCCGCGATGTCCAGGAAGTGGAAGAACAGCGTGCGGTACCAGCGCATGGTCTTGTGGTGCACGTAGTGCTGGATCAGCTGGTCCGACAGGTCCACGCCGCCCATGTGCTTGTTGTAATCCACGGCCGGCGTCGGGCACGCGATGTATTTGGCGGTCCACTCGCCGTTAGGAGACTTGACCCTCCTCTGCACGGTGCTGCCGGAGTACGCCGGGTGGATCGTGGAGCAGACGGAGACCTCGCGAGTGTCCATCCACTTCACAAAAACCAGCGGGCCGTCGCGGATCCACCTGATGGAGCCTCTGGGATCCTTCTTCCTCAGAGCGTTGGAGTTCGTGCGTGGGCACCCTCTTCTGTTATCCTTATACGTGCCGCACGCTCCGATATTCAGGCTGAACAGATCCTTGAAGAGCTTCGGGCTGGTGTAGAAATGGTCCACGTACAAATGAAAGCCACTGCCCAGGTACGCCGTCTTCACCAGGGACATGACGGAGTCGTACGCAAGTCCAACGCCCGAGGGGAACTGCGACTTCCCCGTGTACACGGTAAAATCCCAGGTGTAGCCGTTGCTGCCGTCGGCCAAAGCGAAGAGTTTGAAGCCCCACTTCGTCGGCTTCCCCTTCATGTGCTGCAGCATCGCGGCGCGTGCGTTCGTCGGCACCATCCTCTCGTCTACCGACAGGTTCTGCCTCGGGTGGTAAAAAGACTTGCAGGCGTCTTTGATCGAGTCCAGAAGGGGCTTCAGTCGGAACAGGCGGTCGTGATCCGGCGACCCCTTCCTTCTGTCGTTCTCCGCGTCCCTCTCGGGGTCGCTCATGTGGATGTTCCACGAGATCACCCGGTACCGGTCCCGCGGCATCACGTTGGCCGGGAACGGCACGCTGAAGATGCTTCTCTTCTTCCAGTAGTCCTGGATGTTATCCAGCTTCACCAGCGCGAAGAAGAAAGTCAGCCCCACGTACTTGAAGAACTCCTGGGTGTCGAGGTCGGTCCATGAATATTTTTTGCCCTTTTCGATGTTTTTGGCCGCTTGTTTGTTCGTGTTTTGACAAAGAGTTTGAACCGCGTCGTTGCTGAAAAACAGTTTGAAGAGGTCCAGCGGTGTGTACGTGGTGTTGGAGTTCAGCTGATGTCCCGGCGGTCTCGCTGGGATGAATCTTCTCGGCACCGGACACGAATCCAGATCTGTATCGGTTTTCCAGGCCGCGGTCGAGGGTGCCTGAGGTGGAGATCTGGATCTGGTCTGGAGTGTTGATCCTTCTCGTGCACTCCTGGACCTGGAGCCCCGTGAACTCTTCATATGTGGCGGGGAAGGAGATCGCTCTCTGGGCGGCTCTTCTTCTGTGCAAGCGTTTCCTGCAGCAGAGTTGCTCGGCTCCTCGGCGTCCTCTTGCTCGTCGTCACTGTGAAACAAATAAAAATCATCAGAAAGAGCGAAGGTTTGAAATATCAGATCACATATCATCAGACCAGAAAGTACATGAGGACAATAGCTGCTTGATATCCCCAAACTCCACACAGAGACTGAGGTTTGTCAACAACCTTGCATCGGTTTAGAGAGGTCTGCAGGACGTAAGCAGCTACAGGAGACACCAACAACAACCTGCACCTCCTCCAACCCTTTACCTCAGATATTCAATCCGTATTCTGAGATAACAAGTCATTATTCTGAGATAACAAGTCATTATTCTGAGATAACAAGTCATTATTCTGAGATAACAAGTCATTATTTTGAGATAMCAMGTCATTATTTTGAGATACCACGTCATTATTTTGAGATACCACGTCATTATTTTGAGATAACAAGTCATTATTTTGAGATAACAAGTCATTATTATGTGATAACAAGTCATTATTTTGAGATAACAAGTCATTATTTTGAGCTAACAAGTCATTATTATGAGATAACAAGTCATTATTTTGAGATATTTAGTCATTATTTTGAGATACCACGTCATTATTTTGAGATACCACGTCATTATTTTGAGATAACAAGTCATTATTATGAGATAACAAGTCATTATTTTGAGATAAGTCATTATTTTGAGATAACAAGTCATTATTATGAGATAACAAGTCATTATTTTGAGATACCACGTCATTATTTTGAGATACTACGTTTTTAGTTAGAGATATTAAGTCATCTTTAGATAACAAGTCATATTTAGATACTGAGTCATTACTTTCAGATATTAAGACAATAAAGCATGGTTTCATATCTGTACATTTACATATATGTATATGTATTTTGACCATAATAATAACAATAAGATAAATCATCTACATGCGAGTGTTTCTTTCTGAATATTATTTTCCAGGAAACCAAAACAAAACATTCCGCCAAAACATTCAGTTTGTGGACATCCTAACATAAACTCCAGCTCACATCCACGTCTCTCTCTTGAATCTTTGGACATTATATCTTAGTTATGTGGTGACATTAAACACTCCCCCCTCATGCGTGTCTGATGTCTTGATCACAACACAAGTTACAAAAACACACGTGCACCGCTCACATCAGATCCTCAGCCGGATCGATTCCCTCCTGATAAGCCATCTCTTCATCTGTGAGGAAACTCTCTGCTCCGGACTCTCCGTCGTCTTCACTCTCCACCACAATGGGCGCCTCCGCTGTGCTGTTCGACGCCATTTTTTGGGAGAAAGAAGGAAAATAAAGTAAATTAAAGCCCGAGTCAGCCGGTCCTCAAACAAAGTGTTCCATCTCGAAAAGACAGCGCGCGTATTTTTTTTCGGTTTCGCCTTCGTCCCGTTCGCCTCGTTGTGATTGGCTGGTGCTCCTTTTCCTTCTGATGTCACTTCCTGTCATTTTCACTTCCTGTCCGATTTCACCTGGAACATGGGCTCGCGCCGTTCAACACTGTCCGAGTGCGCAGAGGATAATCGATACATTATTTTTTATACAAACAGTAGACTTCTCATTATTGCGGTTGCTGCCCAAAAATAAAGGACTCTTCTTCTTCTTTGGATTCGGCAGACTTGACGCAACGCTGCCCGCTACTGTTGTTCTTCTTCTTTTAGTTTAATGGCGGGCAACCGTTACATATACGTTGAATACTGCCACCTACTGGACCGGAGAGATATTTATATATATATATATTTATATATTTATATTTATATATACATATTTATATTTATATAAATATATATAAAAAATATAATATATACACATGTATATATATTATATATATTTTTTAATTTATTTTTTATTTTATAA